AGAATGTGCGGTATTCACATACCTATCATGTGAGAGATACATCATCAAAAACGGGTCTCTGAGATTTTCCAGAATTTCTGACATCCTTGGTAATTTTTACTCTTCTGCAGACCTCATTCATTCAGGCTTTTCCTTACACACACCTTTTTCATTCAGGCTTTTCCTTACACACACACACATGTGTTTGTTTTTAAACACATGAGTGTCTTGGTATTAAATTTCAAGTGAGTCAGATGGTGCTTCTCTGGATAGCTCACAAAACATAAGCATGGGTTCTTACCAAAATGATGAGAGCTCCTCTCCTTTCCTTCTGGTTTATATCACACATACCTTTTCTTCCTCTCTCTTTCTCATTTCCATCCCCCTCTCTCTCTCACACACACACACAAATTATACTATATCCACTTACTGTAACAGTGTTTCAGTGTGTCAGTATATGCTATGTTTCCCCAACATTATGTGTTAACTAATTTGAAGTCTGAGGAAGATGAATTATTGCAAAGAAGAGAAACGCCTATAATCCTCTTACAAAGGTGTTTAATGCAGACAGTGTTCAAGAATTCATCTACAAAAATGTAGACACAACTGGTACAAAATCAACAGTGCATGTATAACTTGGGTATCCCAAGGATATTTTGTGACAAGAAAAGGGAGAGTTAGAAATCACTTCTATTTTCCCTAACTATAATATTTCATACTATATATTGAAGCCCTAATGACATTTAAAACTTCTCCTACATAATTATATAATTCTCCCATTGAAAATTTGATTGTAGGGGATGTAAAAATGCTATATCTGAGTCTCCATGGTAGTTAGAATCTAGTGACTCATAGGAGACATTATTAAGAGAAGATTTCATGTGTGTGAGACTATATAAGCATGCCTTATACCGATACACCATCTGCAAATCTTTAATAATGCTTTTTCACCTTTTTAATTCAATGCAGAGTCAAATACTTGGTCAATGACTAAAATTATTTGTAGAATGAAATGGAATAACCTAAATCATGTACCCACATTTGAAGAACTAACCATTGTCCACAGACAATCCCAAGATCTTTTTTCTCTTTGTTGGATCCATGGTTTTGTAAGCTCTTCTCTCATTCTTCCAACCCCTCTCTACATCCTTCCCTACAGTTTAAGTGGAGTAGCACATTTGAAGAGCAAACTGAAACTAAGATGGCAAAAAGATTAACATGAAAAAGTAGCACACAACTTTCAATCAAGACCATAGTATTCTATAGCAACAGAAATACTTTTCTTTTGGCTTCACTTTTTGTCAAATGGAATACCAATTATCAATATTTAAATTATTTCTCAATACAAACCCAATTTGCAAAAGATATTTTATAAGTACTCAATTCTATCCAGATTGTACTTATCATATGAACACAATCTCACTAAGGAAAAAAAGTTCCCCAAAATCTTGTAACAGAGCAGTCAGTTTCTCTAATTTCTGGAAACACTTAGTTCCTCTATTTGTACAAACCACAAAGAAAATTTACTATGTGATTCAGTTCATTATAGAAACTTTTTATTTATTCTAAAAATTCTTGTTTTTGTTACTGATTTTGCTACTGAAATAATAATTTTATTTGAATGGAAATCAATTATACAATCTACCATTGCAATGTATTTCTTCAGAGCAAGTTTATAAAATAGAACTGAAAACTGGATATCAAATCCACACATTGGTGAATGCAATTCAGAAGACTTTTTCCTCTAAAAGGGTACAGAGACAAATTTGAAAACAAGTCAATAAATCTTTAGTATTTTCAGATAGATTTATCATAGCTCTTACATCTTGACAAAGAGGATTCTGTATGATAACAGTAAGATGCAACTATTTCAGCAAATTCTATCACTATCTTACTCCTTAGTTACATACAAATAGATTTTTATAGGATATAAAACCCTAGTTTAATTCATGTAATATGCTTAAATGCATACTTAATACATGGTTTCAGCATATAAATGCCAACACTTTAGGTCATGATGATGATATTATGATAGTAATCTCTGATATATTGAACCATTGTATTACAAGATACTTCTGTATTTTCTTCTTCCATGTTATAGTAACAAGAATTTGAAAAGCATAGAAACTACCTGAATTAGTGTTCTGAAATTAATACCCACAAAAAAATTGAGATCAAAGGATTCCTTTTCACATTTTCTGCAAATGAGTGTTCTTCACTGAAGCTACAAAATTCAGAAATTCAGATATATGTAATTTTGGTATTAGGGATAAATAACACATTCTTACCTATTAGGATTGAAGTTAATTATACAGTTTACCTTTACGATTGAATTAAAAGACAGAGAAAGATGAGAAGGCAGTCCCTTTTTTTGAAGGTCATGTAAATTAATGTGTAACAGGTTAAACACCTTCTAAAATAAGTTGATTATCACAATGAATAGAGCTCTTTAAATAGGATGTAGCCTGTACTCTGGGGATCAGCTCCTATCCCATGTTACCTTCTATTTGAATTAAACCTGCCACTCAAGGAGTTTGATACAATCAAAAAATAATTTGCCATATTACTCTTATGCTAAATTCTCAAGTTTTTTTGTTTTTGCAATATTTTAAGAAATCTAAGCATTGAGAAATCATAAATTTATAAATATATATTACTTACTAATAAATTAAGATGTTCCAAAAAATATGCTGAGATATAGTATCTTAAATAAGAGAAGCTCATCTCTCTGTTAAAAAATTCATAAGTAATTAGTCTAAATCTCTTGGGTAGTTATATCATTTTCAACATGAGTCTTCAATTTCTACATCCATATTAGCCAGGTAGACCTCATCATTCCAAGACTCCAGAAATGCGGGAAAGAGGGCAAAAGGGAAATACTATTTACTCATTTCGTTTTAGGTGGATAAACTGGAAACATTATGCAAAATTTCCAAGCACAATCTGTCATATCAAATTTAGTTACAAAAGCACTGAACTAGAAGAGTTTGATTGCATTCCTAGCTGTAATGCCATGTGACCTCCTGACACTTGCTAATTACCCTCAACTGTCAAAACCTAAAATTCTTGATAGTTACTGGTTGGAGTTCCTAGTCAAGGATGTTCTCAAGTTTATTATGACTCCTCTCAATACAATGATTACAAAATAGAGTCAGTTTTTGTAAAATAGACCTCAAACACACATACATATATACTCACAAAATACTATGGAGGAGAATATTACCTCTAAGAAAATCAGGAATAGATTTTTACCTGCATAAAAATGAATGAATAAAGAAATGGTAAAGCAGATCTTAGAAGCATGCACTGAAATATATCATCTTGTAGAGTTTTATATTTACTCATCAATTTTGAGCTTTTTATTTTGTTTTAATCCTAGTAAATCAAATATATGTGTGGCATAATCTCATTTTATTTTAATTTGATTTATGATAATGAACATCTTTCATATGATTATTTGGTATCTGTATATCCCCTTTAATTCCTTTCTTCAATCTCCTATACTTTTCAGTGTACAAGTCTTTCATGACCTTGGTTTGATTTATTCCCAAGTATTTTTTTTTCTTTTTACGTTGTCATAAATGGTATGGTTTTCATGATCTCTTTCTAGTTCATTGTTTGTATGTAGAAATGCAACAGATTTGTGCATTTTGATTTATAATTTAAAGCATTACTGTATTCACTTATTACTTCTAAATGTTCTTTTGTAGGATGTTAAGGATGTAAATGGTTTGATAAAGTAAAATATCAGTATAGAACAGGAGCCGACAGTGTCTTAAGCACATTGACAAAATTATAAATAAAACAACAGAGTGGCGGACTTGCCAAAAGAATCGCTAACAAAACTTTTCAGATGCACAAGTAAACTATTCATGTAAATTATTAATTTAAGAATCTGGAATTGCAAGGAAGATGGTTTTGTGGACAGATAGAAACTTTCCTTGGTAATGCCAGTTCAAAGGATTAATGATATAAAGCACTCTAGTAAGAACTAAAGACATGAAAGATTATGTACATCAGTGTAAATGAAAATGTATGCACTTTGGGTAATCCTGAAGATAGCTTCTAATATTTCCTTCTCTTCTAAGTTCACAGATATTTTCTTTTCTTTTCTTTTTCTTTAATTTTATACTTTACTATTTTTTTAAGTAACATTGCATTATAACATTACAATAAGTTTCAGGTGTTTCTTGTTGAGACTCAACATATCTGTGTGCTAAATCCACTCTCACCATAGATACTTTCTGTAAAAAATATGAGCTTCCACAAAAATATAGCTGTCTGAAGTACAGTTATTAAAAAATAAAATAATTGGAATAAAATTAATTTTGTACCATATTTTTTCAGTAGAATATAGAGATATTGGCAAATCATTCTGTTTGAATGGTTTCATTGAAATAGGTAGAAGTGTTCTATATATTAGAAAGAGAAATAAATTTATATAAGCTTTCATTTGGTATTATAACGTGTTATTTTATGTTGATATACAGCATATTGAATTCATGTTTTCAGTGTTTAAGGATGCTCTAAACCCTCTAAATTTTGGCAGGGTCTCTGATAGGTGATAGAAATAATCACTTCTTTACTTACTCATTTCATCATTTATTCAGCTAATATTCATAATCAAACTGCCATTGTGATGTCTCTGTGCTGTGGTAAATGCTACACATTTCTATTGCAAAGTTTTAAAAATTGTCCAGGAAAATAATCTCTTATACATTCACTATATTTGAGTTAAATGTCTTAACAGATTTACTTGTTTTCAGTTTCGGTGGGACTCTGCAGTACATTATTATTGTAGTTTTGTAGCAAGATTACTGTTTTGCAAAGAATATTGAAGTCAGATTAAATGATTGCAATGAATATCCAAGAAGGGTAAATATTAAGGTAACATACAAGTATCTGAAAGTACATTACAAAACAGAAGGGATTAACTTCTTAAAGGTGGAATGCAGAAATTTTAAATGATTATGGGATAAATGTCTGGCAAGCAGTTAAGCCTTACACTTAAACTTATCACACTATTTTTTAAGGAAAGCTTTTCTCAGTGCTGCAATCACATCCTTGTTCCGAAGGCTGTATATCAAGGGATTAAACATTGGTGTCACTACAGTGTAGAAAAGAGAGAGCAGTTTGTCAGTTCCTCCAGAATGACTGGATTTGGGCTTGAAGTAGGTGATGCAACCAGATCCAAAGAATAAAACCACAACTATGAGATGGGAAGAACAGGTGGAGAAGGCTTTGGCCCGTCCACCGGCTGTTGGCAACCTCAGGATGGTAGAAATGATTTTGCCATAAGAGATGAGGATCAGCGTGAAAGGGATGGCAACAAACACAGTTGATGCTGCAAAGAGGGCTTTCTCAGCCACTGAGGTGTCCCCACAGGCCAGCTTGATCAAGGGGGGGATGTCACAGAAGAAGTGGTTGATTTGGATATCACAGAAATGCAGAGAAAATATCAGGCTTGTTTGTCCTATCTGGAGTGGGATTCCCGTGACCCAGGCACCAATAGCCAACTGGACACACGTTTTGTGGTTCATGACCAGAGGGTAGTGCAGAGGGTTACAAATGGCCACGTAGCGGTCATACGACATCACGGCCAGCAGGAAACACTCAGAGGCTCCCAAAGTAATGAAGAAACAATTTTGGGTGGCACATCCCAGTCTAGAAATGGTTCTATCCTGAGTCCAAAGGTTCTTCAAAATCCTAGGGACAGTGACAGACACAAAGCAGATTTCCAATGAGGAAAAATTTGCCAAGAAAAAATACATGGGTTTCTGCAGTGCAGTGTCAAACCTGGTTACTATGATGATGAGGCTATTTCCAATTAAGATGATCATGTAAACAATGAAGAACAGGGCAAATAGTAACCCTTGGACATTTGGAAGGTCAGAAAATCCCAAGAGTACAAACTGAGTCACCATGGAAACATTGTCTTCTGCTTTGATCACGTTATATTTCATCTGTATGTATGATTTAATCAGAAGAACACATTAGTTCATTTTCTTGGATTTGTTTTCTTATTTTAAAACTATGAATGGAATCCCTTCCAAATTTCCAGTTCCTTATAATAAAATACCTATTTCTGGTGACTTGCATATGTCATTATCATTAAAAGTATCTTTAAAAGAAATATCCCTTCATCTATCTTTTCTGCTCCATGATTATATTTCTTTCTTTCTTAACATTATGTGGTTATAACTTTGCTATACATGTGGATACTCAAAAATGCAAAATATGAATTTTGCTCAATTGCACCAATGTTCCAGTCTTGTCATTGACATGTTTTCCTCAATTCTCAATCCATTTTCTTTTATTAGCGATTCAAAATTAAATTTATTACAAAGGCTATAATTTATAAATCATCTAAAATAATTTTAGAGATGCAAATAGTTGATTTTTTAATTGACCAACTTCAAGTGGCATTCTTTTTTTTAAAGATTTATTTTTATACAAGAACTGGGGTACAGGCCAGAGGCGCAGGAGGGTGAAAGGATTTGCCAGAGAATGAGCGGGGAGCAGAACAGACAGATGGACCAGAATATACTGCTGAGGGAGCAGCAGGTGAGAAAGGAGAGGTCTTCTGTGCTATTTGGGTATCTCCCTGACCCTCCAGGAATTGAACCCATACTGTGGAGGCTGCAGACAGCTTTACATCGTAACTGCTTTTATTCTGATTTTGCAGTAGAGAGTAAAAGAAAATTCTATAAATTGGACTTCCTGTGTAAGAATATGCAACACTGAGAAGCAGGTTCATTTCACATTTATGTTCAAGAAGTATTTCTAACTAGATTTTGTGTCCCTCACACATTTCTTATGTGACAGTAGTAAAAACTCATCTTTGAGATTTTCCTACATTATTCATGTCATCACTAATTGCTACTATTCTGCAAAATTCATAATTCCATTCAGTTCTCTCTCTCTCTCTCTCACTCTGTGTGTGTGTGTGTGTGTGTCTGTGCGTTTTCATGTATGGTTATATGTTGGTGTGTGACTATCCAACTTTCCTGCTAAGTTACAAATGATTCAAATTGATTGTTGATTTGGAATACTACCCATAAGGAAGCACATATTCCTACCCAAAATGCACATCTTCCCTCCACCTCCCTCCCTGTGTAGATCAAGGGGTCTTTGTGTGTATGTGTTCATGTGTGTTTGTATGTCTATATGTAGGAATTACACTACTTTCAATCTTGCAGAAATAGCCACTACCTCATCATGCACTAGACCACACCCATATTATCTGTTAAATAATGTGAAAACCAATAGAGATTAATTCACTGCAAAGAAGATACACGGGTACCTAAATTCTAAGGGTGTTAAATTTGGGCAGTGGTCAAGATTTCAGTTACCAAAATGTAGATACAAATGGAGCAGGATCAAAAATTCATAAACACTTGGGGGTCTTGAGGATTTTCTGTGACTAAGGAAAGAATTATAGAATAATTTCTTTTGCCATCTACAACATTCCAACTACATATCAAGTTACTAGCATTATTTCAAATTTGTCCCATAATTAAACAATTTTCCTAATAAAAATTTGACTCCAGGGAATATAAAAATGCCATAACAGATTCACTAAGCTGGTCTGGAAATGATGATGATAGCTTACATTATTAAGGTGATTGTGTATGTATAGGACTGTAAAAACAGGCCAGTTTTGCATTATACCATCCTAAACATCTTTAAATACACTTTATTTATTTAATTCAATGTAGTGTCTAATATTTAGATAGTGATTAAAATTGTTGAATGAGCTGCTGCATTTTTCTAGATCTTCCTAAACCTTCTGCCCACATTTGAGGCGTTAACCTTTGCCCTCAGAAACTGCCATCCTCTGTATTCTCTTTATAAGATTACCACTCCGCACATGGCATTCTCTCATTCTTCCTTCCTTCGGTAAATCATTCCCTTCTTTTCAAGTGGAGAAGTACATTTGATGGACAAATTGCTACAACAGTGCCAGAAAACAGTAGAAAAATAATCCCAGCGACATAATTTGCTAAGAATATGCCTACATCTACTGAAATCATTTTTAACCCCACATTTTATTTGTAAAATGGCACACCCTTTTCATAAATGTGAAAAAGGATGCTTAATTTTAACCATTTGGAAAATAAGAAGCTTATAATTACTAAACCATTTATCCACAAGGCAAAATATCACTCCAAGAAAAATCTTATTCAAATTTTTCAGTATAGCTAAAGGTTTTTCTGACTTATGGAAACTATAGATGCATCTATTCATAAAACTTTAAAACAATAAAACACTGCATAAAATTTAGCTAAATGTAGCCACAGATGTTGTTAGTCAAATATTTCTTGTTTATTTCTCTGGTCTTTGGGTAGAAATACTGACTTTCTCTGATATGGAGAGTGTGTACTAATTAAATCAACTTTATTTATTCAGTGTTATAATGTTCGTATTCAGAAAAATTCTATTAAATCAAGCTGAAGATAAAAATAAAAATTAAAAATTGATGATGCAATTCAGATGGCTTTTCCCACCAAACCACTAAAGACAAAATGAAAAAAAAAAAAAAAAGAAAACTGTAATCTCTTTAGCTTTTTCAGATTTATTTAACTTGTAATTTAACCCTGAACAAGGTATCCTTTTATTACTAGGGGTATAAACTAGTAGAATAAAACCATTTCAATAAGGCCTATTACTATCTGCCTGATTTGTTATATATGAAATTTTTATGAGATATTATGTCTAAATTGAATACAAACAAAATACTAAGTACATACAAAATACTAAATACATACTTAACAGGTAGTAATCACTTAATAGATGGTCATATCTAAGATGGAAATAGTGATTATTCTGATGATGATGATGATGATGATGATGGCAATCATCTTTCATTTATTTGTCCATTATATTACAAATAACTTTGCTTTTTCTCAAAATATGTTTTGTATTTATGATGAAAGGTATAAATGCTACCTGAATCAATGCATTTGACTTTAAATATCAACTATAGCTGCAAAACAATTCTTTTCAATATCATGTAAACAACTGTTCTTTGATCTAAAATATACTAATATACGCAAAAATAAATCTGGTTTGGATAAAATTTACCTTTAAATATGGAATGCTTACCTTTATAATTGTGTTAAAAGATACAGAATGATAAAGAAATGCTGTTTTTATCCAAAGGCAGGTACTTTACTTTCTTTAATACAGAGGTTAACCATCTAACATATGCTCTAATGTCATTAGAAATCGCACTCTTTGGTGCTGTTTAAGTTAGGAAATATTCTTTACCCTTGGGATCAGCTTTTTATCTATGCCACTTTCTAATTGAACAGAACCATCCTTCCTGCCTCTCAAGGAGTTTGGGAGAACAACCAGAAACATCTGTTCTTCAAATTGGAAATGTGTGAGGAATAACTAAAGAATCCCCAAAACTCCAGAGAGGAAAAATAAAGTAACCTAACTAGCAAATGCACTTAAGACTTGACTCTGTTTTACCAAAGGAGAGATACAGAAGCCAAATAGTCACTAAAAAATAATCACTATCGGACCTCCCTGGTGGTGTAGAAGTTGAGCGCTGGGTTGTGAAGCTGCCTGCAGCCTCTGCAGCACCGGTTAGATCCCCAGCCTCCAGGCGAGGGTCCCAGATGCGCGCAGACCTCTCCTGCCGCCCACTGCTCCCCTCAGCAATGTACATTGTCAGTCTGCCCGCTCTGCTCTCCGCTCTGGCTCTGGTGAATTCTCTCACCCTCCTGCACTTCTGACTATACCCAGTGCTTGTATAAATAAATAAATAAATCTGTAGAAACAACAACAACAAAAAATAACTGCAAAATAATAATAATAATAATCACCATCATTACTCAGTATTAGAATTAAAACCAATGAGAATATGCTATAATAATGGTGACTTCAATTAAAACAAAATCACAAAATGACACAAATTTAAATAGGTAAATAAATATGTAACCCTTAAGTAGTGACAGTTTGAATGCATGGAAATGCTGTTTCTTAAATCTCTTCATTAATCTATATATAAGTACAAGCCTCTTCTTATTTCTATTAGTTAGACCTAATATTAGGCTTCATAGTATTTTGTGAGTGTGTGTGTATTGTGTTTTTGCAGAGGTTTATACTAAAAAGACCTAAATAACCTGAAGTCACCCTTTGTTGTTAACTTGAAGCAGTAACTCCCTGAAACTATGTTTTTACAATTGAGGACAATTTCAGCGGTACATCCTCAGGCCATTGAGCAAATGCTTATGTTACTTAGCGAACAGGGTTTTTTTTTTTTTTTTTTTTTTTTTTTTTTTTTTAAGAGTGTAGCAGAGTCTTTTTTTTTTTTCTTTAAGATTTATTTATTTATACAAGAACTGGGTACAGTCAGGAGCGCAGGTGGGTGAGAGAATTCACCAGAGCCAGAGGGGGGGCAGAGCAGGCAGAAGGACCGAAGTACACTGCTGAGGGGAGCAGCAGGTGGCAGGAGAGGTCTGAGCACCATGTGGGCCCCTCCTCTGGTGGCTGGGGGGCAGCCGCTGGGGTGGGGGGGGTGGGATCGAACCGGTGCTGCGGAGGCTGCAGGCAGCTTCCCAACCCAGTGCTCAACTGCTGCGCCACGGGGGAGGCCCCAAGGGTTTGTTTTTACAGAACATCTGTTTGAAGGTGGTTAGCCTCTATTTTAATAAAATCAATTTACCTGCCTTTAAAAAAAAAAAAAAAAACACTTCTTTATCAGTGAGAAAACATTTCCAGTGGCTTGTGCAGCAGGGTGAAGTTGAGACTAAATTTGATATGCGGGATTGTGCCTGTAACTGCTGTGTGCTGTTCTCAGCACTTACAATTGAAAGGGAGTAAGTGAGTGCCCCTTTTGGTTCCTTTCCTCCTTGTCCATACAGGAGCTGGCACAGCCTACATTCTAATGTAGATGTAGAGATGGAAGACTCATGTTGAACATAGCATAACTGCCCCAATAGTCTGGAACTTCTGAATTTTTAAAAAAGGAAACAGAACTCACTAATTTAAGACATTATTAATTTACATCTCTTTCAGAACACCTTAGCTTCTATCAGAATTAATGACTATAAATTTCTGATTCTTAATGCTCACATTTCTTGTCGATGACAAAATAGTACTATTGGTTGACAATCTAAAGGATGGTAAGGTGAGACAATTTTCAGTTGTGTTAAAGTCCTTGAGTAGCAGGCAAAAGGTTTATTTAAAATAGAATGTGACATGGGAGAGGAGTTGATCCCCAGGGTAGAGGATATTTGTTATTTAAAGAGCAGGATTTGTTATGGTTATGACAATAGAACCTATGTTAGAAGATTTTTAACCTCTGTTTAAAAAAAATTAAATTATCCAGCATCTAATCAAAATGCTCTTTCTCATTCTGTGTCTTTAACTCAATGATAGAGGTAAGCATTATACTTAACCTCAATCCAGGCAAGTTAGCATGATTATTTTTATTAATAACAAATTACTTTTCACCTATCTGTTTTTGCTTAGCAAAAGCAAAGAACGGTCATTTTCAAAAATATCTGTATTTCTATTAAAAGTCCCCTTAAATTTGTTATCTTTTTCAATTTGAAAAACTTTAGTTATTGTATAATTATGGGACATAGTTTAAATATTTTTAACATGTAGAATGAAATGAAACATCATAGATAGTAAAAGAAATTATTATTTAATTTTCTTATTGTCAGTCACAGAAAATGCACAGAATGGCCATTAGTTACACAGATCACATAGGTCCTGCCCAAGTTGTGTCTACAGTCTAAAGCTAAAGTGAGTCATTTGTACTGTCTTTCAATTAGTTAAGCTAAGATGGAAGTTTCCTAGCACACACTGAAAAAAAAAAAATAAGTTATGTGCTACTTCACCTGGAATGATTGACGCTTTAAAAAATTGACCCTGAAAGTTGCCGTCACATCTGAGGCATCCAGAAGGGGAAGGTGAGACAGAACAATAAGGGAGGTGGGGGAGGAAACAAATTTGGTCAATCTATGGGTAGGCGAGCACAACGTATTTTGCTGGAGACTGGATGCTTTGGTTCTGGAAAAACCATGGTGACCTCACCCGGGTGGAGAAATGCTATCCTGAGAAAAACAAAAAAACAAAAAAACATTGATGTTAGCTAACGGTAAGTCATTAATAAAAATATGCATATAAAAATTAAAAAAGTAATATTTCTAGAAAGAGACACACACACACACACACAAAGACAGAGAAAGGCAGAGACAGATTCAAAGCAATTTTTAATCTTCAGGAAGAAGGAGGAGAGAGTTGGTTTACATTTTGGGGAGGAACCAGAACTTCCATATTGGGTATTACGGAAAAAAAGAAGCAAATAATTTGACTCACTTTCATTTATTTAAGAAAGACTGACCATCAAACAGCAACATACTCATGTACATGAACACACACGCGTGCAGCACACATGCAAAAATTAACTGGAATATATGAGGTCTACAGAATGGGGTCAACAGGTACCAGTGTAGTAGCTTCAGGAGATTTCAGAGCTGAGTGGTTGGGGATGTCTCACATTACAGGGAAAGTGTGTGAGACTGCATGTGTGAGAAATGCTTTCTTCAAGATACATGTTGATGAACTCGCCTTTTATCTTTTCAGTTTTCATTGCACAAGAATATGATTTAAGATTTTTTTTTCTCCCCACAGCAAAATCTGAATAAATATTATGGCTGCTGGCTTCATGGACCTTACATTGAAATGTACAGTTTTAAGAACTAATTAAAATATTTACTGTTTATGAGTGAATTTTTATAAAGAAAAAGTCTGTGGATATTCAAAGAAGCACAAGAAGTTCATCACTTTTAAAATGAAGTGCATTCTAAAAAAATATTTTATATGATTTGCAAATTTTATTACACATGTAATAAAATTTTATTTTTACATGTGTAATAAAATTAGATTTAAATTGATAATTATAAAAGCAGATTGAAAGGAGAACTTAAAAACATGTGAACTAGAGGAGTATTAGTATGATAAACTAATGGTTAATAAATTTGAAAGCAATGGAATATCATCCTGTGTCCATTAACATATCTTTCTTCAAAAACAAAGAAATAAGATGACCATAAGCAAGAAAATGAATGAGGGAATTTTTTCTTATATGTCTATTTAATAATAATGAAAAATTAATTTCACATCTTTTGGACACCTATCATGATTTTCTTTGTTAACAGGAAATTGTGTGCCATGCTATCCTTAACTTATTATACATTAGGACACAAATCAAAAGATTGACAATTAACTTGAAATCACTATTATGCCATTTTACAGATGCCCTTTGACAAGATGAAAGTGGAAGGCAATGTTTCCTCTGTGACACAATTTGTACTCCTGGGATTTTCTGACCTTCCAAAACTGCAAGGATTATTATTTGGGCTGTTTGCCATCACTTACATGATTATCTTACTTGGAAATAGTCTCATCATCACAGTAACCATGACTGACTGCACTGCAGAAACCCACGTATTTCTTCCTGGCAAACTTTTCCTCATTGGAAATCTGTTATGTGTCAGTCATCCTTCCTAGGATTCTGAAGAACCTGTGGACTCAGGATAGAACCATTTCTAGACTGGGATGTGCCACTCAATTGTTCTTCCTTATTTTTGGAGCCACTGAGTGCTTCCTGCTGGCCGTGATGGCCTATGACCGCTTCGTGGCCATTTGTAACCCTTTGCACTATCCTGTGGTCATGAACCACAAGATGTGTGTCCAGTTGGCGATTAGTACCTGGGTCATTGGAATCCCAGTCCAGATAGGACAAACATGGCAGATTTTCTCTTTGCATTTCTGTAATTCCAACCAAATCAACCACTTCTTTTGTGACCTCCCCCCATTGATCAAGGTAGCCTGTGGGGACACTTCACTTAATGAGCTGTGTGTCTACTTAGTTTCTCTGCTGTTTGCCACAATCCCCTTTCTACTGATAGTTGGTTCTTATGTCAAAATCATTTCTACCATTCTAAAATTACCCTCAGCTACTAGTCGATTCAAAGCCTTCTCCACCTGTTCTTCCCATATCTTAGTTGTGGTTTTATTCTTTGGATCTGCTTCCATCACCCATTTAAGGCCCAAATCCAGCCACTCTGCAGGAACTGACAAACTGCTCTCTCTTTTCTACACCGTAGTGACTCCAATGTTTAATCCCCTGATATACAGTCTTCGGAACAAGGATGTGATTGCAGCACTGAAAAAATTGTTTTTTAAAAAAGTGGTGTGATCAGTTTAAGAATAAATATTTTCTGGTTGCCACAGCTACCAAATAAATATAAATTTAGACATCCACACTTCAGTTGGTTAGTTGATATACTTACAGACACTTTTTGTATTACTCTAAAATATACTTTGTTTAGGTATACTATTTGAAAATACATCTCTCATCAGTGTTCAATACCTAAAGAATAAACTTCCAAATGAATAAATTAGTAATATGCATGGTCTATTCAATGTAACAACCAAAACCATAATTGAATCTATTAAGAATGTTCTTGATAAAATGAAATTATAGAAAATTATTTATGTAAGCAACTTCAGAAAACTTTATATTAGAGCTTCCTAATATTATTGTTTTAATTCTATTTCATAAGGGTTGGACAAAATTATTTCTTTGATTATTTTTATTGAGGTCACAATGGTTTACAATACCATATATGATTGAGAGGCAGGGGATCATACCTCCTCACATGTGTTTACCACCACATGACAAAGAGCAAAGCATCCATAGTTCTCCACCATCATTTATTGTGTCCCTCCCCTCCCCATATTATAATCTCATTCACAGTTAAAGTTCCATGGTTTGTTTTTGTCTAACCCTTTATTTTGTTTTGCTATATTCCTCAAATAGTGAATACCATGTGGTATTTCTTTCTTCTTCTGACTTAGCATAACACCCTGCAGTTCCATCCATTTTGTTGTAATATTTTCATAGTCTCTGTAGCCTGTATTTGCCAGGTGCATAAGAATGTCTACCACAAACAAAATCAACCTCTGGGGAAAAACAAACTCATTTACAATCTAACTGAAATTATTTTTAAGTAAGCAAGTTGATCTTGCAGTTCCCAGGGGAACTGCAATGACTTTCTTCTTTGACAGTTAGTTAAATATATATTCTTTAATTCATGTACACATTAAGTTTAAATTACAGACAAAGTAAAAATATACGTTTGGTGCAAGTCTGTGAAACTGACTAATTCATACAGTTGCATAATCACAGACATAATGAAGAGACAGGACCTTCCCAGCCTTCTCACCTGTTGAGTCTTTATCTGTTACCACTCCCATCAACCCCATCACCAGGCAACCAGGCTGTGCACATGCACGTTGCCCTTTTCCAGAATGTTATATACATGGAATAGGATTCTAAATGCTTTTGCCTCTGCTTGCATTTTCACTGAGCAGGAAGTATTTGGCATTGACCATGATGTGGTACGAACGTACCTTCTTTTCATTCCTGCTGCTGAGAAGTGAACAATCTTTGTGTCTGAGTGTTTGTTCATCCTCTGTCTGCCTGAACTCATTAGAGTTATTTCCAGTGTTTCACTACTATACACATAAACTCCTGAAAACGTGCATATAGATTTTTGTGTAAATACAAATTTTCATTTCTGTATGATAATTGCCAGGCACAGGACAGCTGGATAAATGTGGATGGCAAGTTATAATTTACTTCACAAAGAACTGCCAGCTCCTTCTCCAGAGTGATCTCCCATTTTGCATACCTACCACAAGTCTGTAAGTTTTAGAGTTTGAAGACTTATCAGTGGCTGGCTGCGGTTTTCATCTTTTGCGTTTGTTTTTTTTTTTTGCAGTCTACCAGTAGTTGTTGAGAGGTCGGTATGTATTTCTTTTTCTTTTTTTTAAAGATTCATTTATTTATGCATACAAGAGCTGAGGTACATGCCAGAAATATGGCGGTGGCGGAGAGAGGATTCACCAGAGACAGAGTGGGGAACAGAACACGCAGACTGACGAGATACACTGCTGAGGGGAGCAGCAAGTGAGACAGGAGAGGTCTGCTGCGCCACGTGGGTTGCTCCCTGGCCTGCTGGGGATCGAACTCGTGCTGCAGAGGCTGCGGATTGCTTCATAGTGTTGTGCTTAACCTCTTGCACCACCAGGGAGGCCCCAGATATGTATTTTTTTTTTCATTACTCATATCTTAAGCACTACTGATGGAGCAAATTTCCTGACTAATTTACCATATCTATATTTTCTTTGATGTAATGTCTGTTTCAATATTTCACCACATTTTTTTAAAGATTTATTTGTTTATTTATTTATACAAGAACCGGGGTACAGGCCAGATGCACAAGAGGGTGAGAACATTCAGCAGAGACAGAGCGGGGAACAGAACAGGCAGACTGATGAAATACACTGCTGAGGGGAGCAGTGGGCGAGACAGGAGAGGTCTACTGTGCCATGTGGGAACGTCGCCGGCCAGCCGGGATTGAACCGGCTCTGCAGAAGGCTGCTGACAGCTTCACAGCACTGTGCTCAACCACCTGAGCTACCAGGGGAGGCCCTATTTCACCACATTTTAATGGGTGTTCTTAATATTATACATTGGGCATATACACATGTATATATGTATATCTACCCACACACTTTGTTAATTGTGTGATGTGCATATTGTTTATTGTGTTCTATGTTTTATCATTTCAACATTTAATCATGTACTTTACACAGCAAAAAAATTGAGCAAGTTTGGGCATTTAATTTTTACAAAACTAATAAGCTTATATAGGGGAGATTGTCTATAACATATGACACTGGAGCAGTTGAACATCTATTGAAACACCTAAATCTAAAATGCATGCTATAGAAAAATGAATCAAAGTGGACCACAGATTTAAATAGTTATAATATATGATTGCAAGGAGAAAGCCTATGAGAAAATTGTGATCTGAAGTTAGGTATAATATTTAAGTATACTACCATAAGGACACTTCATAAAATTAATATTGAAAAGTTTGATGTCATCAAAATTAAAATACTTTTGCTAGTGATTAACATTGATCATTGAAATAAAATACAGACAATGGGGGAAATATTGGCAGTTCACACATCCCAAAAAATGAATATAATTAGAATAGATTCAGAACTCCATAAAATCTAAAGTCAGAAGTGATAACATAACTAACAAATGTAAAAAACTTGACTAGCTATTTTACCAAATGGGATGTAAGAAGCTAAATAATTATTGAAAAGTATTCAGCATATAACAATATAAAAATGCATGTAAATTTTAAATGAGATTATGCTTCACATGTATTTTAGTGATCAGTATTAAAGTAAAATAAAAGTCCAAACGTGTTAATAAGTACAAAGTCCTTGAATGGTGGTGGTAGGTCTCACTGCATTCATGATGCTATAAAATACATCTTTCCACATCTTTCAACATCAATCCTTATTTGATTGCCATTCAAGTCCTGATTCTTCCTGTGTGTTGTTTGTGTGTGTGTGGGTTATGTGTTCATGTACATTTTTTGTAGGAATTTGAGTGAAAAGTATTCTATTATTCACAAGGACTACACTTGGAGGAGTCAAAATTCACCTCAGGATATCCAGGTATGGGACCCAAATACAGAAACTACTTGGAATATTAATATTTCACTGGAGGCTCATTCAGAGTAGAAATATGGAATCCTGGCTGGGCAATTCAGTGGGAAAAAAATTTCCAGTGCCTTGTGCAGCAGGGTGCAGCTGAGACTAAATTTGATGTGAAAGATTGTGCCTGTAACTGCTGTATGCTGTTCTCAGCTCTTGCATTTGAGAGGGAATACGTGAGAATTCTATTTAGTCCCCCTTCCTCCCTGTCCATACAGGAGCTGGCACAGCCTACATTCTCATGTGGATGTAGAGATGGAAGACTCATAGAAGATGGCACAACTGGGCCTCCTTGGTGGCGCAGGTGATTGAGCGCAGCGCTGTGAAGCTTTCTGCAGCCTCTTCAGTGCCGGTTCAATCCCTGCCTGCCTCGGAGCAACCCACATGGCGAGCAGACCTCTCCTGTTTCTCCTGCTGCTCCCCTCAGCAGTGTGTTTCTTCAGTCTGCTTGTTCTGGTCCCCACTCTGTCTCTGGTGAATCCTCTCACCCTCCTGTGCATCTGGCTTCTACCCCAGCTCATGTATAAATTAAAAAAAAAACAACAAATAAATAAAAATAAAAAATGGCACAACTACTCCAATATTTCTAGTCTACTTCTGAATTATAAATGACAAATCAGATTTCACTAGTTTAAGACACTATTCATTTAGAACTCATTCAGAACCCCTTAGTTTCTATTAGAATTAATGTGACTATGAATTTTTGATTCTTCATGCTGACATTTCTTAATGATGACAAGAAAGTACTATTGTTCATAATTTAAGTGTGGTGAGATAGATTTAGGTTGTGTTAAAGTCCTTGAGTGGCAGGCAAAAAGGTTTAGTTCAATTAGAAAGTGACCTGGGATAGGAGCTGATCCCCAGGGTGGAGGATATTTGTTATTTAAAGAGCAGGGTTTTGCTATGACAATAGAACCTATGTTAGAAGTTTTTTAGCCTCTGTTTAAATAAAAGTAAATTGTCCAGACTTAGAACAAACCACTCTTTCTCATATTGTGTCTTTTAACTCAATAATACAGGTAAGCATTATACTAAACCTCAATCCAAGCAGGTAAGAATGTTTATTTTTGTCAATAACAAATTACTTTTCACATATCTGTCTTTGCTTAGCATCAACAAAGAATAGTCATTTTCATAAATAGCTGTTTTTAAAAGGATCTTAAATTTTGTGGTAGTTTTTCAATTTCAAAAACTTTTTTCTTTGTAATTTTCTTACTTCCCTTACTTTCAAAGATATAAATGTTAAGTACCTTACAATAATGAATGAATCGATAAAGTTTTAGTCATTTTTTCACCTTTTTTGGATAATGAGTGTACTTTATTGAAATGGCTTTGCTTCCTGCTAGCGTGAAAGGGATTCCTTGTTAAGAATTAAGTTCCATATATATGAATCTAAAAATTCTTATGTGATCATGGCATGATTCTATTTTTATATTTACAGATTTATCATATAGGAGGTAAGTCCTCTGAACTACATCTACCAATTTTTGGTATCTTTAATTTAATTTAATAATGTTACTCTGTATAAAACACTATATTGCAAACACTGGGATAATAGTATAATTGATATCACAGTCTTCACACTAGATGTGATTACTACTTTAGAGGGAAGAC